ACTTCACCCGTTGCCTACTGGTGGTGGTCAGAGGGGCCCGGTGGCGCCAGTGTCCGGCAGCCTCGCCTCTGTCAGTGCGCCCCAGGGTGGCTGTGGCCTACAACGTAGCTGCCATCACCAGTGTGTGGATGACTGGATGTGTAAAGCGCTATACAGGCCATTTATTTTGTAGTTTTACTATTAGAGCCTAAAACAGGAACAAATCCAAGCCCGTGCTCCAGAGCCAAAAGAAGACAAACATAATTCTATAATTTTTATACTTTTAGAGCCTGAAATGAAATTTGCTAGAGGTGTGAACAAAAAGTTTTCCATAATTCATATTACAGTCCAAAACTACATGTAGGTGGTTTCTTCAGTGTAAGAAAAACTCTGTTCTGTGACGTCTGGAAGCGTTAGAGGTGATACTAAACCATCAATATTCAAATGCTGCTGAAAACACACAATGATTTTATATTCTTTATGTTGAAGGTAAATACAGCCTCTTCTATAACTATTTTCCTGTTTTTGATCATTTGATCGTCTGTATCAGGTAAAATCATAACAAATAATAATAAAAATCTGATCCAAGTTTGTAATTTTCTAAGTATGTATTTTGTTTTTGTGTCTTACCTTCTGCTGGTTCTGTCCGTCCATGTCTGCAGTTTATCGAAGGGAAATTGATCCGAGCTCCTGAACCTGCTGCTAAAGGTCTCGGTCCAAAACTCTCCAAGACTCTCCAAGACTCGACTCAGATCTCAGACTCAGTCCAGGTTAGTGTCTGAGGATCTGACCCACCCCGGGTCCTGGTCTGGAACTTGTGGTGCGTTCACACTAGGAGCTTCAGTTGTTCCTAAATAAGTCTGCAACAACCACCTGCTGCACGACAACTGTCCTCGCACACACACACACACACAGCGACGGTTTATTTATATTTCAGACCTCCATGAAGTCAAACTCTATTTGCATCCTGCTGCTGTTTTACTTGCTGTTTCTTTTTTCACATCTTTATAAGCGTATGTGTGGCTGACATCGAGCATTAGATGCAGAATATGAAAAGTGGCTGCACAAGACTTTAAGCTTCTTTTTGTACAATACAGTGAAAGAAGTATAATTTTACTACAGTACAAAGTGTTTAAAATACATTTTATTTTAAAGTAAGCTTTAACATTAAACACATGGAGTACGATATCTTTATTATGCAGATTATAGTCGAGGAAGAAAAAGTGTTTTATTGTAGACATACCTGCTGCTGGGGCTCAGCTAGCTGGGGATACAACAGGCCAACCCTGCGAGGGTAATGAGGGGGAGGGCCGGTGGTGCTGGGGGCAAACGCGGTTCCACGTAGCGGCAGCAGGGGGCAGCACTGTCACTTTGAGGATGCAGAAAATCACCTGCTGCTGTTTTAATGTCGTCGTCATTCAGACTTGCGGGTGATGACGTCAGAGCTGAGGCAGGTGGGAGCTACAATCAAACACTGCGTCTGCAGGTAAACACAGGTGATTGGCTCCTCCTCCATCGGCCCTGGGTGAAGTTCTGCGAGCGCAGATGGACGCTGCCGCAGGGCTTCACAGGTTAAGTTGTTGGCCCTTTAAGCGTGAAGTGGGGCCCCTCTACGCCTCACTGAGCAGCTCCCAGAGCCTTTGTTAGTGTTTAGAAGTGGGGGTTTGTGGTGTGGGTGGGGTGGGGGTGCGGATTAAAACCAGCACCGACTGACTGGGACCCTCCACAGACCTGAAACAACAAGGCGACATGGACAGGCAGAGGGAGGCTGCACAGAGGTGAGCTCTTCTTCGTTTTCGCTTTTATCACAAGAACCTGAACTCATCACGTCAGCATGTGACGATGATCTGGTAAAAACACGTCAGGAGGGAGAAGCGGAACTTTTTAAACACTCGTCTCG